TTAGTTATTCGTAAAACTTATAATTCTATAAGTATTTTATTAGATTTAATATAATTTTTTATATTAGAAACTATAAAAACTATAAAACTATAAACTATACTACAGTTAATACTCTACTCGCACTATAACGTTAGCTTAAAATCGCCTTTAAAACGGAAAATAACACAAGTTTTAAGTTTCTTATACTTAATTACTCTTTATTATAATACTATATTAAAGCTATAATAAAGGTGAGATAAAAAATATAATACTAATAATAATAAATATAAGAGAAAGAGAGCTTATATAAAGCTATTTTTATTATTAAAGGTATTATAATTATAAAAGCACTTTAAAATTAAACTATTAAAGATATAATAAAAGCTATAAATTAAGCTTTAAAAAGAGATATAATAATAGCCTTATATAAGTTATTTAATAGAAATATAATTATTATGTTTTAAAATAACGTTTTCTTTTTTAAGAAAATATAAATTAAACTTAAGAGCACGCCCCGAACACCCACTACGGCCACATCGGCACTTCATGCAGCGCATCCCAAACAAGCGACTATTGCAAGCGGCGGTCAACCGTACAGGCAGCTCAGCGATAAAGGTACAGACATACAGATCAAAGGACTGGACGGGGATCGTGGATCAAGTCCCGGCGGTCACGTCCACGACACCACAGTACACCCTGCGCAGACGAGTGAATATTGTCACACAGAAGAAGAGGAGGGCCGGGAAGGGCCTGACAAGACATAGATACAGAACCATCATTAGGATTGCTAGTAGCGACGTGAGTGCTTTGAGCATATGGGGCAATGTCCGCGTAGATACAAGGAACGCACACGTCGCTACTTACAGTCGAACGCTGCATGGCTGCTGACAAAGGGCGGCTGGGACAGACTATGGCGTAATCATATCAAGTCAAATCAATCAAATCAATCATCTAATTACTGTAACGTTTGACTTTGAATGATACCAGTTGACAGTAGCTAAACTCCTCCACCATTTGCGTCCCAAACGCGTTGAACAGCCGTTCTCGAATGCAACGAGACGATTCTCCCTAGACGTTCAATTGCTGGCGGTCCTTCTCTGGAGTCGATGTCTCGAAGCAGTGATTGGCTATTCAGTAACATCAACCTATTGAGGGCGTGAGCTGATGGTATTCGACGAGGCGTCGACAAACCCACGATGTCTTCCTTGGCAATTACCATTGACACTGCTGAATCGCGGCAATACGGGCATCGACCTCTTAGCCGGTGAGAAAGAATCACATCACGTGACTCGTCATGCACGAACCCGCTTCCTTCGCAGCGTTTTCCTCTGGCCTTTGAGGCGGGACATCTTTTACATAGCAGCTTCCGCTCCTTGTGCTTGTATGGGCGTTGGAGGCACTCGGCATATTCCTTGTCTGCGATGCCAAAGGTACACATGATTTCGAGCGCGGGTAGTAGAGAGTAAGCACAGACGGCGAGACGAAAAAGGTGTTGCTATCATCTCTTAAGGATTGGATTCACCCCCTGGCTATTTATCCTTGAAAAGTGCCTTGGGGAGTACGTAGTCCCAGGTTTTGAATCTGGAAAGATATCTAGACATTTTGCAATCCCCCGCCCGTGGACATTCCTCGAGACCTAACATCGACGGATCCGATCCCTCGATAGAGCCCATCGCATGCATCCTCGTATTAGCTTGTTGCAGGATGCAGTGGATTGCCTTGTTCCCATTACATGGTCGATAGCTCTATCCCTAAATGCAGCGAAGGCGGCAGTGAGGTCACGGGCACCACAACGCCCCTGCCACCGACCGTAAACCTTAAGTGACATTAACCATAGCCGTATCAGGCCGAATAATCGTGTGGCTATGATGTGTGTGATGTAGTTTTTGTAATGTGAAAGTTTATGGTGACTTTTCTCATCACATAAATTAAGTATAAAATTAAGTACCTTTTAAATACTAGCTTTTAATTGGCTTAAAATCCCTGTTGTGACCTCGCTGCCGCCTTCGCTGCATTTAGAGAGGTTGTGCGTTGGCTCACCAGTGCGGCCGACCGCGAGTGGGGTCCTTCCTTCCGATGTCCGGACTCCGATTCAAATTCACATCGAGCTCACTCCCGGTCGAGACTAGGGTGATTGACGTCTCTAGAATTTAAGGAGGTGGCCACATTCCCAACATTTTACAGCACGAAATACTAACGCAGTGATAGATCCGTGTGTGCTCAGTTATGGAGAATAATCTGCTGCACCAGGAATGCTACAATAGTTCCCGCCGATTTACCGGCGAGCTAATCAACAGCAGATTCCAACCCTATAGCAACCTGAAAAGTCGTCACCTTTCTTCAGGGCACATTGTCCATTCGACTCGACGTGACTCGGCACTTTGGAGCAAGTTCCAAAAAACACCACAACTTTTTCTCATATATTCCTCAGCACGTGAATATGTGACACTAGGACAAGACTTTTTAGCAAAAGGCTGCCGTACAGTTTTCTATGGGAAGCTCAGGAGCAAGCAAGTTGGAGCAAGGCACCGGAGGAGCTGCCACCTCCACTTCCTTTCTGTCCTCATCAATCTCACCCGTGGCAAATCTGTATATACGTTGGCGGCTAGCAGCTGTATCAGGCTTAACCTTGGTCGCATAGCTTGTTTCCTGAGGCTAACGATTTGCCAGACACGCCTCTTTGCTTGCATACTTCTTGGGCTCATCTCCTCGCTTCTATGCTTTGCTCTCGCAACACTTCTTTATTCCAATGCAATCTTCTAACTGTCCAGACAAACAAATAGAAGATAGCTTGTCTTCTCCAATAATCGGTTGTAAGGCGAAGGCTTCGCGAGGTCAGTGTTCCATCCCGTATGTCGAGGGGATTACCTATTTACTTACCGCCTCTTGGCTAAGCACCCTCTGTGGCGCTGCTAGAGCTAGAATAGCGAGAGTCGCAAATATAAGCTGGGTATGCTTAACTGTGGAAAAATTGTTCTTGAATGAACAAAACATGTGTTTAGAATATCAAATGGGAGTGGTTTGAATGCTAAACTTGGCATGTTACTAGATGCAAATCTGAGTCCATCATTGAGCTTTTATCTTTTCTTTTTTTTGAAAAAAAAAAAAAAAACCAAATCATCGTACAAGCATCCCACAAGCATTATATCTAGTAACACCATGTGTTAGCTGTACCAAGCCAAAGAACCGCGATATACCACGTAATATACCATTAGTACACGCATCGCAATACGTCAGACACTAGACAGATTAATGAAAATTCACCAAAGAACTAGCAAATAAATAAACACTATATGTTAGCTTAACCGTATCCTGGAGGGAAATCTGAGCCTATACATACAAGGGAAAACTTCGCAGACAGTCCATCTAATCAACTCATCTAGACTAGTTAGTTGCCAAGGATAACAGGAAGGAAGTGTAGTTTCATAGGTCAGACGATACACGTCATCTATCATGCAACACCAAGGGTATAATAAAAGTATATGATATCAGTATTGGATCTGGTCAGAGATAAGAGCAGAACCTCAAGCCCTGTTATTATTCCCTTGTCAATAGAGCATTTTAGAGACCTATCGGCAAGGGCAGACTTTGACCACTACGCACATAATACATTCCAGCCGGTAATGGTGTCCTGAAAAATATAGTTGCCAAAAAACAGCTGTAGTATCCAACTTGGAGGAAATCAGCAACACCTAAACGGCACCAGCAGGCCCAATGCCTCTTCCGTAGCATGACGCCGATAAATTTGTTGGAAGATGTACTTTTTAGTCTACTCAAGCCCCGACGCCACTCATAGAAGTCAAACTTCTGCCCGCATACTCTCTCAGCCTAGAGTATATACACCCGCCTGAGTCAGGCCATCCCCACAATCTGATAGTTACTTCGGATACACTTGCGACATTCCGTGGCTTGCGGGCTGTTGCGGGAAGGAGTAGTCCGAGCTAGATTAATAAGGCAAGGGATTAAGAGATTAAAAAAATCTACTTGTATATTTAACCTTTAATTATAAGAGAAGTACTCTATTTATAACTATAAAAATTATATATTATTATAATTATTATAAGAATTTAATATAATTTTAATTTTTATAAATTTTATCAAAGGGTTAAGTAATAATTCATTAATAAAAGTAGTAAGTTTAGGTGTAAAATCGCTAATTATCGTGACTTTTATCTACCCACTGTAAGGGGTAGATATACGTAACACATTTCGGTGGAGACTTGAATTAATCAAGCATTAATACTACTATTTCCCTTAATAATAGTCTCCCAACATACTATGCTACCCCTTGCACATTAGAGCTGTAGGCTGCAAAAGAAGAAGAGCTCTATTTCCCTGTTTGCCAAGCTTTATGCGGATACCCTTTGCTATGAGACGGGTAGGTAGCAAATGCATCTGTTTTCATCCGTTATTGGTCAAGTATGACAGAGGAATACGTCGTCTTCACATCGCCTCCCATCCAATTTGGTGTTGCAACACGAGCCGTCTGATAATTGGAAAGTGCTAACAACCCAAAGGGCCAAAAAACCTAGAATGGCGAATAATTAATTGCATTCAATGGCCGGGACAGGCATGATCCCTGCGACTGCGAGGTGGAGGATGTCGGGAAGGAGGTGCATTAAGTGTATCGGATCAAGACGTACTTAGCCATGATGTGCGAAAAAGCACCTTCTGGCATCATTCACGATCTACTATTCGCTGAATATAGGTTTCATTACATGAAGAGCACGGCAGACGCGGCTCTCTTGGTCCGCAGTCAACTATGCGGCATGGAAACCGGAAATATGGAACAACATCCAACAAAGCTAAATCCAGTGCGAGTGTGTATTATTTTAGCATTGTTTACCAGATTTTGTCGTCCAAATCTCCAAGCTACTAGTCTTATACTGCCTTATCGTGCTTCTGATTATATTCGTCCAGAGCTTTTACCACAAGCTTAGCCATTGCCAGCAGTCTCTCCTCGTCGAGCCTCCTCCCAATTAATTGAATTGACGCAGGCACACCATGGTATGATTCTGGATCATCTAGGTCGAGAGATCTCAGAGGCTATTCAAACTGACGGCGTACGACAACTCACATGACTGCATATTCAACAGGTCCTTGTCGGTTAATGGCTGGAAATTCGAGGAAAACGTATCAATTTTCGCGTCGGCAAAAGTGATCGGAATCACAATTAAAGTATAATCAAGAGCATTTATAACGCTTGTGTACGCTAAAAATTTTTGTCATAAATCAACGTACCAAATAATAAGCGAACTGCTTCAACATACGAGAGTGATAGAATTTTCCCGGCAGCACGGCAGCATACGGGCTCACGGGAGAAATGACAGCTTCTACTGGTTTGCCTGTCGGATACATCAGCGGCAGTCATCCAGAAGCGGTCGGTGATGTACACCAGCGTGAGTCCTCTTCGCCGACGAGAGCCAGTAGTCCTGCCTTTGGCGCGAAAGTCTGTCCTATGCATGACGACTTTCTCGTATTCTTGGAGCGTAATTGGCGGTTTAGGTTTGCCATGGGGGAACAAATGCGCAACTTCAGGTACGATTGGCTCCCCTGACAAACGAATAGCTTCATAAGCGTCGGGGCAGCCATCGCCTCTTGCAATAGGACACTGCCGAAAGAACTGGTCAATATTCCTGTTTGATTCCATGTTCATAATGCAACCTACGTGTATCTCAATCGATTCGTTATTCGAAGGTGGCGCCCATTCCACAAGCTGATAACCTTGGTTTTCAAGAGCCTTTTGTACAATGGACAAGGCGCGGGCTACTGGGGGATGAGGCGTTACAAGACCGTCATTAGGCATGAATCCAAATGACGGTTTATAGGACTTTTTGACGAGGTTAAACTCTCTTTCAGATCTCCAAGGGATAGGCAAACAATATGGATCGCTCTGCCATGGTTCAAGGGAGATGAGGGACTTGAATACGATTTCGAGAGTCGAAACGGAGTGCCACATGATGTCGGCCACGGTTGGCATAACTTGCTGGCCACTTCTAGTGTTGGCAACATCCTTGAAAGACAATCGTCTTGCAGATGTTTCAGGCTAAATACGCCCTGAAATGATGCTGGCATCGAGTGGGATCCGCCAACGTCTGTGCCGATTCCAAACGCGCTTCCTCTCAAGGCTTGCATCGCGCCTTCACCTGAGCAAGTTTCAACCTAAAGTCACATTGATCCAAAAGCTCCCGTCTGGTTTACCATACCTCCAGAGGATCCCCCTGTGGATAGAAGTTGATTGTGCGGGTTCCAGGCATAACCGAGAATGTTGTTATTTGTTTCAGCAGCCCAAATGCTTTGAACAGGTGTCGTCTGAAATTGCCAGCATGTATGTTCGTGTCAAGATCTCCAAGTCTACATGGACATCGTGGTTACCTTTCCAATGGGTACGGCGCCTAATTAATAGAGTTCCTTGATCAACTGGCTCTCGGTGTTTCTCTCCTTTCCGTATTTTTTTCACCTTCAAAGGTGCCAATCCAGCCAACAAATGCCATGCAGGGCTCCAATTCTTTGATGTGAAATTGGTCCTTCAATGTGACGGGCAGCCCATGTAGGGGCCCGACAACTTTGTTGTGCCGCATGAAGTAGTCATCGAGCTCTTGCGCCCGTTTCAGGGCAACGTCGAAGCCAATCTCCAATAGCAAGTTGCTCTAGAAACAGAATTAGTTCAACACGCATCTAGCTATGTCTGTCATATATATACCATCTGGTGTGCAAACGCAGCACGTTTCGAGAAGGCCAATACGACCTGCACCGCCTTCAAAGAGCCATTGCTCATGTTCTCGACCAATTGGGGAGCATCCATGGCGGTGATCTTTTTGGTCTCGTCGTCTAATAGCAACTCTATGAAGTCTCCAGCGATAGTTCGTCGAGATTTAGCTTCGAGGGTAATATCCGCACCAGGTCTCCAATCGTAGGGAATTTTCGCGTTGTCCGCTTTAGTTTTTGCCGCGACAACCTCTAGCCAGGATGGCTTTCTGGGGGCCATCGTTGTCGTCATGGTCAAGTGAGAGCCGTATCTAAATATCAGAATGGTGATTAATACCAGAGAAATTGCAAGCAGCCGTATGTTGATGGAAATTGTTCATTACCGATGCTTGAGAGACAATCACGGCGTACTTGCACTACAGACTTTGCTTCATTTACTTCCATCCTTTGCCGTTTACAACGACACGATGCTTGTCTTGGGTTCACGCTATGATCAGAGCGTTCCTGCACTACGTAGCACCATACCTGTCACAAACTTCTTCTTTGTCAGTCGAATAGGTCAACCAACGACTTGCATCTCGGGCGAGAACCTAGCCAATACAATCATTTATTGGGCTACATACATGTGCAAACCTAGGCTAGAGGATGCAACTAGCTTAAAAGCTAATGGGGCTGTTTCTTTTGTTCATTAGTCTCTGCTCTCTAAGGCGAGAGTGAGCAAGAATGCCCGCCGCGTGCCTATCGCTCCCAACGAGTAGGTACTCCGTCCCAAATCTTAGTCAAGCTTGCCCAACCCTTACCCGTGTTTGCTGCGACTTTTCTTCTGATCTTGTCTGTCCTTATATATGTCGTATAACCAAGATGAGTTCTTTCAATTGAACTTCGATCCTAGCTTAGTAGGCGCAAGCGTCAGGCTAGGCCAGCTCGTCGTGTCAATGTCGGTTCCGTACAGTCTCCCAAAGCTGTCAGGATGAAACCACCGAATATATCAGTCATGCGTAGTCTTGAACGGGCTCTTGCCTTTCTCAGCTACCCCTGCAGTGGCTGGTACCAAGGCGGGCAGTAAAGCTTACGTCTGCACCCAGTCGTGGTATATGAATACAGGTAGATAGCGAATCAAGGCACAGTTTGCAAGAATTGATAAGATTTGGGTAGGTCTCAGAAGACTACATGTGTATTGGTAATGATCAGAAGCGTCTCATTTCGGAGAGTACAGTCCAGATATGGCAATCCGGGAGCTCGATATGTTGTATCAGCTTTAGCTGTAGTATGGTCCGAGTCATTTTCGTGATGCTAACCATGCTGTGTATCACCCACACGTCAAGTCCAACTAGGCATCGGAAACCGAACTCCCCAGATGCATGGCTGGAAGGACATGTTCCCTGAACAAGTGTGCATACATCCAAAACGGTCAGGAGGGGAGCCTCATTATTGGACCTGATGGAAGCACAACATGCGCTGTGATAGGTGATGCACATTGGCGGTTGTTCGACCTCGTGATAGAAATCAATCTACCTAGCTCCGTAGCCAATAAGTGACAAGTAAGATTGTGACCTAGGAATCAATGAATTATGTAGTCTAACCAGAGCGCCTTGCCCTCGGCGCAGAACAACAACCAACATGCCACGTCATCACAGTACGCATGGCCTAGGGGTATGAGCAAGCCATATGCGTCGTGTCCGTTCCATGATGCTTCATTGTGCGTTTATGAAGCTGCATGCTGCGGCCCACAGCCAGCCGTTCGTTATCAGGTTGCTACGTAACATCTTACACTCTCAACCTCGACCTTCCCAGCCTTGATCTATATGCCTTCATTGGCTGTCGCCAGTTTGAGACATACGCCGGGTGCAACAGTGCGTCAGCCGATGAGATGTCAAACCGGGGGACGGCTTATGGGCAGATGAGTTCGTGCAGCTCGCGCAGGAACCGCATGCTAACCAATCGTGAAGTGCCAATAGTTGCATCATGTCCAACGGGTAGGCTCCAACAGATTGAGGCTCTCGATCTAGATTCCTGCGCGGCGTGGGCATGATGAATAAAGATCTCGACATTCGTCGCACCTCCTGATGTATTGTGATTCCAACCTCCCGCCTCCCCCAAGTCCCCCGCCGTATCTCGCATCACATACGTTTATAAAAGGATTTACTCTGTGCACCCTCTATTGTTCTCCCTTTGACCAGTAACATCCAAAGCCAAAACATGGAAGGTAATGTGAGGAATGTCCAAGGACTTTTGGGTACTGCTGAGCATATTTCCTTCACAGGTCTTATATCATACAATGGTTTGTACAATTTCCATTCAATCATGGTGAAGAATCTAACAAATAGCCACAGGATCATTCCATCCAGCAAGCCTCTCTGCCGTGAGTAGCGGACCCAGCCAAATATCTACAACTCGGAGAAATCCAAAATCTGCTCACGATGGCCCTTGTCCCGGGCAGTTCGTGTCCTCTGCCATTGATCTCTTATCAAAACGTTCAAAATCTCGCAATAAAAGATCCTTCTGCAGCTCACCGGGTGCAAATACTGTTGCTACAATTAGTTCGAGTATGGCCACTAATGGTTCCCCCCGGACTTCATCATCTGTCGCTCTTCAGTACTCAAACTACGACCAGAATCGAGAAGCCACTTCAACTCATAGCTCGCAGACTGCAACTGCAACTACAACAAACCAATCAACTCATGACAGAAACAGCTCTTCTAAAACCTCTTCACTTGCCCCTCTCCAAGTCTCACCCCCAACACAGGTGGCGTGCAACAAAGACTTCTCTCACACCACTTCCGCCCTCAAGTCGGCTGAAGAGCTGGCATACGACACGAGTTACATCGGATCTCGGAGCTGGTGACTGCAAAGTATCCTTACAAACGTCTTTCATAATCCATCTATGCCTTAATCTGCCTGAACACGACTTGAATGCGCTTCACACGCAAATTTCCCCTTGTATGAATGAACTGTTGTCGAGCCTTCCCTTACACCCCCCCTTTCGCTTATTTCAGACACTTGGTGCCGTCTTCGAGGCGAGAGATTGTGATTAATAGGTGCCCTCATCTGCCGCGTGAACATATTCACTTATCCTCATGTCATACAGTCACCGGAGCAACAAGATGCGCCGACGGCAGCCAAGATAAACAAACACTTGTCTACATTTCAAGATTGTTTTGCGGCAGATATTTCCCCGATCTAACAGGGCTGGGCCTGGTTTTGTGCCAGCTCGGCGTACTTTCTTTGGCGTTGAATTCTCATGCTTGAATAGTTGACATTTCCAAAGACTGTACAGAACTGTTTCTTGATTATTAGTTTAAGCTGTAATGGCATCACAAGGACGTAGCGACTTCATGTTCACAGCATAGAAAACATCAATCACACATTATACTTGGCGGATCTGCATCGAATAATATACAGGCTTAGCGTATTTTTGTATTATTATTTGGTTAATATAGGCATTTGATCGCCGATAATTACAAATACAATGCACTTTCATGGAGACCCTTGCTCAATATTAGCCGAGGACTATTCCTTTTATTGTTTTTTTTTTTTTTTTTTTTTTTTTTTTTTTTTTTTTTTTTTTTTTTTTTTTTTTTTTTTTTTTTTTTTTTTTTTTTTTTTTTTTTGATTAGCTGCATTAATGTCATGTCATAAATGCCTCTTGAATAGCTTACAAGTCACATACAACTCAGGGGGCTTCTCGTTACAATGGTAAGAGATGCATGTGGGTTCGTCGACTTCCTCTTTGCCGTTCATGAACTGCGTTGCTGCGAAATAGCTTCTCTCACGCCAGGTAGTTTTTTTGAGGCGGGGAGGTCACACTTACCGATGGATGTTCGCGTTTACAAACAGGGAATACACGAGGGCAGCACGTTCGTCCAAATATCATGATGTCTGGTGGGCCCAGATTTCACTTGCTGTTTACTTGCTGCTCACCTTGCTTGCTTTGTCGGTGAATCATGCTGCCAGGCTTCTTCTTGACACGTGTGCCACCGTTTACGCTTATTATGAAAAAAAAACAATGACTTATCGTAAGAAGGTTTTCTTTTTTCTTGCTCACTTTCGAAGCCAAGCCCAGGCATTTGCAATTCGTCCCATCTCACCAGCTCCGAAATCCCCTGTCATCCCTTTATCCTCATGTAACAGCCCGCAACTATCGACTTTGTTCTTCACTCATCACCATGATGGCCTCAGAGCATCGCAAGTAATTCCTGCTTGTTTTTCCTCATCTGGTTGATCTGACATGTTCAGCGACCCGTGAACTGAACCTGCCCCCAACGCACCATTCGAGTTGAAGCCTTCTCCTGGCAAAGGTTGGGGAGTATTTGCCACCAGAGCCACCAAAAGGGACAAGTTGTGTTCGCTGAGCATCCCGTCCTCATCACGCCAGAGGCACTTGAGTTGGTACCGCCAGATGATATCCAGCTCCGCCACGCGCTGGAAGCCAACCTTTATCGTTGCACTCTTTCTTATGTCAATGGAGGAGAATCATCCGAAGCATTTGACGAGTTGAGTCAGCTTGTGACAGAAAAGGATGGCCTCAATGACCACCAGAGTCCTCGTTATATAATCAACTTGCATAACACACACTCGCGTTTCAGTCATTCTTGTGTACCTTATTTCCAAGTTTTGATTGAGCGCGCAACAATAACCAGATATGCTGTTGCTGATATTGCAGCAGGGGAGGAGATCACATGGTGCTATAATACACAGCACATGTGGTTGACAAGGGATGAGCGCAGTGCAGAACTCTCATTCGTGTGTTTTTGCAACGGCTGTACGCTCCCTACATCTTGCAAGAAGTCAGCGACTTACGGAGGCGACTAATGCGTGGATTACACTATCTTTGGGACGGCGGGTTGAGTGGGATGGGGAAAGACAAACATCTGGTCGTCCGCTCATCCTCGATCCGATTCTGAAGCATACGGTAGAGACCGGTAGCTGTCTCATGTCTGAAAGGTTCTTCTACGTCACTCTTGGGGTTTTTCTGTTTGAGCAGGAAGGAATTCTGTTTGACCGCTAGGAGGGACAATGCATGAGTTTGCTTCAGACGCTGGCAATGGCGCTCAAAGCCCCACGTAACGTTGCTGCTGCGCAGCTTGCAATGAAGGAAAAAACTTGGGCACAAGAGGTCGAGGTGGCCGTTTTATTGAGAGGCCGCAAGGACGAGGATACCGCGGCGCAATAGTGGCGAGGATCTCCATCGACAAACATTCTAAGCTCGTGTACTTAGCACTGTCACACCACTGTTCTGCAACATACGTGGTACAAGAGATGACCCAGATTGTAAATACC